ACTTCAGATCAGTCAACAGCATACTCATTTACAAAGGCTAAACTGTGATGGGAAATCATACAGAGATCAGTGTAAACTAGTCCATACTACTTTGAGGTCAACTGGCATTGAAAAAGTGCTTTTTTCAAAGTTGTGTACACTTCATGGTATTCATATGGTAACTGTACATTCTCACTGTAAAAGTGTCACATGATATAGAAATTGACAAGCAATTGGCAAAAGTTTTGAGTGTTTTGATTGGAGCATGGAAGAAGTTAATCTTGGATTTTACCTAGGATCAATACTATATTTCTGAATGTGCTTATAAAGTGGAGAGCTTGAAGAAGTGCGTGCACCTTGCACCCCTTGAAAGAAGAGGACAGAGTGGGAGGAGGCAGAGTTCAGAGGGCACCCAAGACAAACTGTCTATAATTCAGAACTTGATGTAAGGCAGGCTCCAGAAGCAATGCCTCCTCACCTTCTCTGAACTCAACCTTCTTCCTCCCCCTCAATCCAGAATTCAATGTACATGTTATCAGTGATGGGGTTCAGGATACACTTTCCCAAAATATAGCATGTTGGCATATTGATGGACTCTCTGCCCTTCACCTTCTCCTGAGAAGGAGATCATAAGACTACCTTATGAAAGGTTGAAGAAGGAAATGGTAACCCCCTCTGGTTTTCTTGCCTGGAGAATTCAATGGACAGAGGAGCCTGGTGGGCTACAGTCTAGGGGGTCACAAAGAATCAGATACAAGTGACTGACTAACACTAACTTACTACTTATGAAAGGTAGTCTCTCTCTTCCTAGAGGGAAGGAGCTTCCTCATCTCTGAAGATGGAGAGACACTGAGAGAAATCCAAACAAACATGTCTTGCTAAGTTTCCCCCAGTTTATTACCCTTAGCTCATATCCTTCAGTCCTAGTACATTTGTCCATGACTTTTTACTATTCGTCAAACCTGGCATAAAATGCTCAGGTTTAAGTGCTTCTTCAGGTCTTCATTTCCTTATGAAAGTTTCCATGTCACATAAAACACTCAATAAATTTGTATGCCTTTCTCTTCTTAACCTGCTTAGAACCTAGACAGGTAGAAGGAAAACAGTTTTTCCTACCCTCACTGGTATTATATGTTAACATTGTAAATCAAACAGGCTTTTATGGGTTAGTTGAGATACTATCATTTAAAATACTGTTTATATAAAAATGACTGTACTGAAATGCCAAACATCAAATTTAAAATAAATTTACAGCATAATCAAAATTGATGCCTGCCTCCTAGGTAAGACATAAAGTAAGAGGAAGAAGTGTAATGGGTTCTGGGTTGGGACTCTCAAAGCAGAACACTAGGTCTTTGGCATCTTGGATATGGTGGATCAGAAGGAAGTACGCTCTCTCTAAAGGTGGAGCTGAAGTTTTCAGTCTTTTCCTGTTCAGTAAGGTAGACTTTATTTGGACTATCATGATAGGCAAAAGGAACACAATGGGGTGTTGCAGTCAGGGAGAGAGACTGGGCTCAACTCAAACACAACAAGGAGAAGTGGAGATTTATTGCCATAGGGTAGGGGGCAGTCCCTGGATAGAAAATTACTAACAGGATAGGATAATTCTTTGACAAACTGACCTAACAGAATACTTGCTGAAGGTAGGCCAGGATGATCAGGTATTTCCTGAGGGCGGGTGGTAGGGAACAAGAAATGTGGACAGATATCAAGGTGACCAGATACTGAGGGTGAGGATTCTGGCTAAACTGACATAGTAGGATTCGTCAAAATACACTCTACAAAAACAGAGATGGAAGCCCAAGGTCAGACCTAGTGGAGCAGAGGGCTCAGAGGAGTGTGAATAAAGTCTGGTCAAGAGGAGAATCTTTGTCAACTCTTAGTTTCTCTAGGCTAAAGTAAAGCTGGCGACCTGGCTGTTATCAAAAGTGAGGACATTCCAGATCATGTGGCTTAGTGGGGACTGTGTGTGCACTGCTTCTCTCTGAAGTAGGTGAGACAGAGCCTCGGAGCGGAATTGAAGTGACAAGGAAGGAGTAATGTGTGAAAAGTTAACTCAGAGTTAATTATCCTGGGTTGGGAGATATTTAGGAAGATAAAATATCCTGCTATTGTTTAGTTGCTTAGTGTCTGACTCTTTTGTAACCTCATGGACTATGGCCTGCCAGGCTCCTGTGTCTATGGGATTTCCCAGGCAACAATACTGGAGTGGGTTGCTATTTCCTTTTCCAGGGGATTTTCCCGACCTGGGGATTGAACTTGTGTCTCCTACACTGGCAGGCAGATTCTTTACCACTGAGCCACCAGGGATATACTGAATAAATGTAAAATTATTTGTGGTTTGCTAGTGAACAAAACAAATGTCATAGTACTTCTAAAGGATCTTCAGTTCAGTCGCTCATATGTTATAAAGGATCTTACCTTATAACATATTACACTCTAGGTACAGGTAATAATAGAGCAGGACTTTTCATGGAAGCCCTCTAATACTCTTGTGATTTGCCATTTTTATTCCTGTGAAGTTTAACTAAATTAAATATCAAAGCAATAGCAGAGCAAATGACTATACTGATATTTCTATTACCAAACACTTTTTTTAAAAATTAAGAGTTCATCACCATCGTCCTCTATACTTTGCTACATATGAGAAAAGGCCAAGTTCAAAGCTGAACTTCTCTGTCCTTCCAGCTTGAGTATCTCCAGGCAGGATGGTTGGAGAACAAGGACTCACTTAAAGTAAATTATTCAAGGGGAAGAGGAGTCAGGTCTCCTTAAAATCCATTCTCTTAAGAATGGATTTGATACTGGTGGGATAGAAGGAATTCTGCTCTGGGGAAAAAAGGTACATGGGATCCAGAGAAAGGGCTGGGCACCTCCTTCCTCTTCCAATTAGCTCATTCCTCCTCGGCCCCCTATCCCTTCTTCTCAGCTTCACCTTCAGCCCCATCCTTCTCCCAGCTCTCTTCCTTCCCTCCTACCCTAACCATAATTCTAAGGTATCTTCATCAGTTAATTCCAGCGGTGGACTAGGGCCCAAACTGGATCTGAAGGAAGAACAAACAACTCATACAAATTAGAAAAAGATGCCGAGCCTCAGTAATTTCAGCAACCAGAGAATTAAAACATAGATACTTTGAAAAGGTATTAAACTGGAGCTCAGGAGGGTGTGTAGTCAGACTGCTTTTCTCAACATCTACACATCTGTATGATTCAATTTAAAGAAGCATAATCTGGTTAAGGTTTAAATGATAGAAATATCAAAAAATTTTTACAATCTACAAAATTCCTGGTATTTTGGCATTTAAAAATTCCAGAGAATACTAGTATAACCAAAATTGTATATTTTTATAATAATATAGTTTGGCCACCTGATACAAAGAGCTGACTCATTTGAAAAGACCCTGATGCTGGGAAAGATTGAGGGCAGGAGAAGGGGACAACAGAGGATGAATGGCTGGATGGCATCACCGACTCAATGGACATGAGTTTGGGTAAACTCTGGGAGTTGGTGATAGACAGGGAGACCTGGCTTGCTGCAGTTCATGGGGTCGCAAAGAGTTGGACATGACTGAGTGACTGAACTGAACTGAATCTCTAAAGTAAATATGACTGTTTTCAATGGCTAGTGTACATTACAAGGCAAGTGAAAGCTATGTCACCCTAGAATATTACATTCAAGTCAGTGATGCTTAACTTCAGATGTACATCATGATAATTCTGTGGGGTTGGGCTCAGGCACCTGTATTTTTAAAAGTTTCTTAGGTGATTCTGACACACAATTCTGGTTAAGAGTGACAGTCTTATTATAGTATACTAACACATATATATGGAATATAGAAAGATGGTAACGATAACCCTATATGCAAAACAGAAAAAGAGACTCAGATGTATAGAACAGACTTTTGGACTCTGTGGGTGAAGGCGAGGGTTGGATATTTCAAGAGAACAGCAGCGAAACATGTATATTATCTAGGGTGAAACAGATCACCAGCCCAGGTTGGATGCATGAGACAAGTGCTCGGACCTGGTGCACTGGGAAGACCCGGAGGGATCGGGTGGAGAGGGAGGTGGGAGGGGGATCGGGATGGGGAATACATGTATATCCATGGCTGATTCATGTCAATGTATGACAAAAACCACTACAATATTGTGAAGTAATTAGCCTCCAACTAATAAAAAAATAAATTAAAAAAAAAAAGAGTGACGGTCTTAAAACTATTAGTTGCTCAGTCATGTCCAATTCTTTGCAACCCATGGACTGTAGCCTGCCAGACTCCTCTGTCCATGGAATTCTCCAGGCAAGGATACTGGAGTGGGCAGCCATTCACTTCTCCAGGGGACCTTCCTGACCCAGGGATCAAAGCCAGGTCTCCTGCGCTGCAGGCAGATTTTACTGTCTGAGCCACCAGGACAGGAAGACATTAAGATCTCACATACAGAGCTGCTTTGCTTACAAACCCATTACTAATCTCATCATCTCCTTGGTTTAGTTTTTATTTTATGAGTATTACAGGAGCACTTAAAGAAACATTTAAACTTTCCTTGCCACACCTCTAGAAAGTTATTTAAAACTAAACATTTCAAATGAAAGTTTAAAAAGTAATACATTTAAAGGCAGACTGGGAACTAGGTTATTTACTTTGAAAACTAACGCTGTCAATCTACAGTATAGAATAAGGAATCAGGAGGAGTGATGCTACCAGAGGCAGGGGAAGCTAGATGGTCATCAAATTCTTCCTGAAACATGTCCTAATGGCATGCCTTCATTATTTTCTTTACATAGTTGACAACTTATCACACAGGTTCACATTTAAATGGGAAGGAAAATATACCTTCAAGATGTAATCAATTTTCCAATCGTGTATTTAGAATCATCTCTGTAACCAGTACTCCTGCTAATATTAAAACTCAAGAGCTGACTATACCATCTGGATATCATGAGTCAGTTTCTTAAACTCAATTCATTTCCTTTGGTTTTTCACCAATGTAACATGAAAAACTAAATTTTATAAACATACCTTGGGTCAAGAAGGCTTCTCAAAAACTTGAAAAGCAAAACCTGGTTCTGAACAGAAAAATAAAGAATACAATTAAATATTAAAACAAACTCTTCCAACTATGCTGTGATAAAGAATTTTAGAATATCCCTTTAAAAAGCATGTATGCATGTTTACTTCTAGTAAGCTCTCTGTGCAGATCTAAGAAATGCTGAGGAATCATTTGGAGGTCATTTCTTCTCAGATATTCTAATCATTGTCACATATTCAATTCTGAGTGCAAAAGAAACAAAAATACATTGTTTTGCCCCTCAACCCTTGCCAAAAAAAAAAAAAATGCCCTCCACTGAGACAAATCCTATAACAGTTCCCAGCATGAGGACCCTTGGAACAGGTCCAGAGCAAGTGCTCTGGCTGCACAGATGGGTTCACCCTGCCTCACCTGGTTCTCCCTGTGACAATGGCCAACTGTGAAACAGTTAATCTAGGTGAGGCCCAAATAGCAACCACCACCAGAAAAGCTCATTAACTCTCCAATATAATCAACTACAGAAGAGACAGCAAACTACAACAGGTTAAGCCTGGTGTGCTGCAGTCCATGGGGTCACAAAGAGTCGGATACAACTGAGTGACTGAACAACAACAATACTGCATGCTATAAAAATTTTATAACAATTCACTCATTAGTGCACAGGCGAGGCTTACCACGAAGCAAACATATCAATTACACTAGGCTACCATAAAGCAATCATAATGCTTTTTCATTATCAATGCATGAGCTGTTATGCTTGTAAATAAATACAAATTTATTTTTCACATTTTTCATTTTTGATGTCATGTTTTAATAATATATATATATATCATATACAGTGCTTTGTATAAGACAATATTGATATGGGTACTGATGGATCATTCATCTTGTAAATATACAACAGTATTGATAAATTTTGTTCAGTACTGTAAATGTATTTTCTCTTCCTTAAGATTTTCTTAATAACATTTTCTTTTCTCTAGCTCACTTATTCTAAGAATACAGTATATAATACATATAATAAACAAAGCATGTGTTAATTGAAGGTTTTTTCTTTTCTCTAGCTCACTTATTCTAAGAATATAGTATATAATACATATAATATACAAAGCATTGTTAAATGAAGGTTTCTGTTACTGGTAAGGTTCCCAGCCAACAGTAGGCTATCAGTAGTTAGTCGAAAGTTATAAAGGGACTTTTGACTGCATTGGGATTGGCACCCCAACCCCTGAGTTGTTCAAAAGTCAACTGTGTATGTTTTTATATCCTTATCCCTTTATCAACGTGTTTTTGGCCCATGGCCTCCCTTGTGGCTCAGCTGGAAAAGAATCCGCCTGCAATGCGGGAGACCTGGGTTCAATACCTGGGTTGGGAAGATCTCCTGGAGAAGGGAAAGGCTACCCACTCCAATATTCTGGCCTGGAGAATTCCATGGACTCTATAGTCCATGGGGTCACAGAATCAGACACCACTGAGTGACTTTTCTCTTCTTTCTTTTAGCCCACAGCCAAAAGAAATATTCACTGAATTAATAGAAGACTCCTTATCTTGAGTTAATGGACCTCTTCATACTGGACAACCAACCCTATAGACCCAGGAGTCGCTTTTTACTCCACCCATCACATTCAACTAACTTCCAAGCCCCATATATTTTATTTCACAAATGTATCTTAGACTTGTGCTTTCCACTGGCACTGCTTTCATTCTGTCCTCACCATTTCTTGCCAAGACCTTTTGCCTTCCAACTGGTCTCGCCTCTATTTGCTCTCTTTGCCAGCTCATTCTCCACACACAGAGTTAATATTCTATCAAGTGAATCTACTGGTATCACTCCTTTGCTTAAAAAAAACTTCAGTCTCCAGCACACAGAAGATATAGTATAATTTTTTAGCATCACATATATGACTGTTCAATATCAGACTCTTATTTTCCAGTCTCTATACATTTAATTCCTTCCTTCCAATATACCTTTTACAGATTAATCTAATGCTTCCTCCACCATTGTCTTCACCACATTATTCTCTAAATATGAATGCTGCTTCATGCCTTCAAGTCTTTACTTACCCAGAGCCCTTTATCTAGAATGCCCTTTTCCATTCTCTGCCTGGAAAACTGACACCAATTATTCAAGACTCAGTTTGGGCATATCTGGGAACACCTGTCTGACTTGCTCACACAGTCTGTCACTCTCTCCTCTTGTTCCTAGAGCACTTTTTATGTATGTCTGGTGTAGAGCTTATAACACTATGCTGTGGTTATATCAGTGCTTCTCTATTCCACAGGAAAAATTAAGAAAAAGACTATATTCTTATTAGTGTCCCCCCAGAGCCTACCATACTGTGGTACAGAGTGGGGCCCACAGTAGTATATAGTGTGAATATGAATGAATGAAATGAAATGAAATCCATATCTCTATCGCCCATGTCAGCCACCCCCCCGCCAATCACTACTTTGGTTTCCCTCTTGCATACCTAACTTCTACTACTATCATTGCTACTTGAGGACTCTCAGTTGTGCTACACCCCCCTGTCATTGTCCTAATTCCTATCTCTATCACTTGTGGCCACAATGGTAGTGAGCAAAACTCACTACTAGCACTACCACAGTAGTGACAAATGGAATGCTAGGTCCATTAAATAGTACTTCAAACTGAGCGTCTTAGTATTCAGCATTAAAACAGCTGTATTCTAGCTAAGATCCACCCCCCCCCCAAAAAAAAGTTCTAAATAGACAGCATTAGCCCAATAGGAGCATGCTAGAAATCTAAACAAATAACATGAACTCCAAAGAGAATATGGTCACAGTAACTATAGAAAAAGATAAGAGTTAGGACGGGGGGGAGGACCCTTTGTGGATTACGACTTTAGAGTAAGTACAGGTTATGTACTTACTTAAGTACCATCACAAAAATGTTTCTGTGATGGTAATATTCATTATGCACAAAGATAAACTCCCTCATTTCTAGATTCAGATTATCACAGAATTGCTTCTAAACATGCACACACCCAATGTGTAGAAACTACTATTAAAAGGCAACAATGAATGGAAGAAACCATTACAATAAAGATTTCTTAGGTGGATATTGAGTAACTGTCTCTCCACTAGATGTTCTGCAGAATTTACCTGAAGTTTTTTAAGGACTGTTTCGATCTGTTCAGAAAAGTGAGTAGCAACCAGCTCTGCAGCTTTACAGGGCTTCAGGGCCACAAGTTCCTGTAACAAAAGAAAAAGATAAAATAATCTTCAGTGTTAAATTTAAATAGAATTTCCACAGATGTGACGCATGATACCAGCATCAATACTTTCATGAGCTTCTATATTGCTTTTCAGGAGAACTCAATATAGGGCCAAAATTTAAAGACATATTACAAGTGAGCAAAATCAGAAAAGCATCATGTATAAAAAAATCAGATTTTTATATAAAAGGTAATTCAGAATTCTTAGAAAATGAAAGCACTAAAATTCTGGATTTAGGCCATGATATCTACAGGATGAATGTTAAGAATAAACAAAAGCTCCCCAAATTCCCTGCCAGTGAATTTACCCTTCAGCATAAAGTAATAACTTAAAGAAGTGAAAAAAACAAAAAAACAACACAGTTGCCATTTCTTTAGCTAAGACTTCTGAAACTTTACCTCCAATGCCTTATAGATTTTGAAGCCAAAATTGCCTTAAGAATTAACTTAAGGTCATAAGTCTTAAATGACACTAAGAGGTTTACCACTGTTAACAAGACCTATTTCTGTCAAATCTAAGGCTTGCAATCTCCCTCTCCTTGAACTTTCCCAGATACTACTGGCTATCCCTTTCTTCTTGAAACTCTCTTCTTACTTGGTTTCTGTGACCCTAGTCTACCTTTTCAGTTGTGTGATCCATGGCTAAAATGCAAATACTGTCTATAGATCAACATATTATACTGTCAAAAATACAATGAGCTATCATGACTGCAATATTCATGACATATATCTAATAATTCTGTGTTGGTATTTTAGGATTAATAATACTTAGCTGACACAAATAACTGTAGTTTATACTATTTTCATACAACACATCTCAAAACAGAGAAGGCACAACTAATCAATATCACATATGAAAAGGGGGATATTACTATTGATCTTCAGATATTAAAAAGATAAACTATTATGAATTAATCTATGTCAAGAATTTGAAAATTTAGTCAAAGTGGCTAAATTCTTAGAAAAATGTAATTCAATAAACTGACTTAAGAAACAACAGAAAATCTGCATTGATTAGTAGCCACTAAAGAAATTGAATGAGTAGTCAAAAATCTTTCTATACAAAACACTCCAGGCCCATATAGCTTCACTGGTAAGTTCCCAGCAATCATTTAGGGAAGAAATAATTACAAAGTTAATTAATCTCTTACAGAGAATAGAAAAAAGGAAACTTCTTCAGCTCAGCTCATTGTATAAGGGTAGCAAAACTCTGATACCTAAACCCCCTAGAACCTAAGGAAGGAAGGGAAAGTATACATTGGTCTTAATTGTGAACACTGATAAATAAAGACAGAATCTAATAATGTATAAAAAAGATAATATAACAGGTTCAAGTTGCATTTATCCATAGAATTCAAGGCTGATTTAATATCAATAAAATTTATGACAAAAACAGAATAAGGGAGAAAATTTTAGCATACTAGAAATAGAAGACTTCCACAAAAATCTTTAAACTAAAATATTATGTGTCAGAAATAAAATTTTAATCACATTATTAACATTAGTGTTTTTCTAAAATATATGAAGTTGTGACAATAAATCTAACAGTAGATAAAGTCTCTACAGAGGAAATTATAAAACGTCACAGAAAGATACTGAACAAACAGTTACACCATATGGTCATAATGTAGAAACCTCATAATGGAAAGATGTCAAATTTAAAAAGATTCAAAGATTCAATGCAATCCCTGTCAGAATCATAAGGTTAGGAACTTGACAAGTTGATTCTAAAAGGTATTTGGAACTAAGCAGCCAATACTCTTTTAAAAATAAGAATACTTATTATAAAACAACAGTATTTTCAAGTAGTGACTTCAAAACCAATCAAACAGAACAAGACCCAGAAAAAGACAAAACACAGAGATTCTTGACATCTCATGATAAGGTAAGACTGTTGAGCAGTGCATAAAGGTAATCTTTTAAAATAACTGTTGCTAGGACACAGATCAATGGAACAGGAAAGAAAGCTCAGAAATAAACCCAAACCCACACTAACAGTCAATAATCTATGACAAAGAAGGCAAGAACACACAGTGGAGAAAAGACAGCCTCTTAAGTAACTGGTGCTGGGCAAACTGGACAGCTACATGTAAGAGAATGAAAACAGACCATTCTCTAACACCATATACAAAATAAACTCAAAATGGACTAAAGACCTAAATGTAAGAGCAGATACTATAAAACTCCTATAGGAAAACTTAGGCAGAACACTCTTTGATATAAATCACAGCAATATTTTTTTGGATCCATCTACTAGAGTACTGAGAACAAAAGCAAAAATAAGCAAATAGGACCCAATCAAACTTACAAGCTTTTGTAGAGCAAAGAAAAACATAAACAAAATAAAAAGATAGCCTTCAAAATATTTGCCAACAATGCAACCAATAAGGGATTGATTTCCAAAATATACAAACAGCTCCAACAGCACACACATACACATACACACACACAATCCAATCAATAAATAGGCAGGAGACCTAAACACATTTCTCCATTTCTCAAACAGATGGTCAACGGGCACATGAAAACATGCTCAACATTGCTATTAGAAAAATGCAAATTAAAACTAAAATGAGGTTATCACCTCACATGGATCAGAAAGGCCATCATCAGAAAGTCTACAAATAGTAAATACTGGAAAAGGTGTGGATAAAAGAGAACACTCCTATACTGTTGGTGGAAATGTAAATTGGTTTAGTCACTATGGAAAATGGAGGTTCCTCAAAAAACCAAAAATAGAACTACCATATCATCCAGCAATCCCACTCCTGAGCATATGTCTACCTAGAAAAGATAAAAACTTTAAATCAAAAAGATACATGCATTCCAATGTTCATAGCAGCACTATTTACAACAGTTAAGACATGGAAGCAACCTAAATGTGTACAGACAGATGACTGGATAAAGAAGATGTGGTATATGATGGATTACTTAGCCATTAAAAAGAATGAAATAATGACATTTGCAGCAACATGGATGGACCTAGAGATTATCACACTAAATGAAATCAGACAGAGAAAGATAAATACCATATAATATCACTTATATGTGGAATCTAAAAAAAATGATGCAAAGGAATTTATTTACAAAACAGAAATAAGACTCATATACATAGAAAACAAACTAATAGAAACCAAAGGGGAAAGGGGGGAGGGATCAATTAGGGATTTTAGATAAACAGATACACACTACTATATAAAAGACAGATAAATAATAAGGACCTACTATATAGCTCAGGGGACTATATTCAATATGTATCTTGTAATAACCTCTAATGGAAAAGAATCTGAAATGGAAAATATATATATGTACAACTGAATCACTTTGCTGTATACCTGAAACATTGTAAATCAACTATACTTCAATTTTTTAAAAGGGGAAAAAATTCAAAAAAGGAAAAAAATTGTTCCTGAGAGAACTAGGTATTCATATTTTTAAAAAATTAATTAATCCCCACCTCAAACCATATACAAAAACTGCTTTCAGGTGGGTCTAAGATTTAAAGTTAAGAAAAGAAACACGAAAGCTTTTAGACAACAATACAGAAGGACTTCTTCAGTACCAAAGGAAAAAAACTGATTATTCTGACTACTTAAAAAAAAAAAACTTTTCTTAAAAAGAACCACAGAAAAAAGCCATGGAGTAGAAGATACTTGCAATATGTATCACTGAAAACAAGACTAACATCCAGGATATACAAGGAATTCCTTCATCAATGAGTACAAGAGACATTCTAACAGAAAAATGGGCAAAAGACTTGAACAGTGATGTCACAGAAAGAAAATTTAAATGGCCAATAAATATGAATCAATCTCAGTAATTAATGATATGTAAATTTAAAACAAAATGAAATTTCATTATACATCCACTAGACAGACAAAATTTTGTTTATTTATTTATTTTGACAAAATTTTACAAGTTTAGCAAGAATATAGAGTCAGTGGAAAATCTCACACAATGCTGGCATCTGCTGACGTTTAAAATATCTATCCCAGTTTAAGTGGCAACTACACACCCTAGAACAGAGATTATCAAATGCTAACATGCATCAAAATCACCAGAGGGGCTTATTAAAATATATTGTTGGGCCCTGTCGCCAGAATTTCTGATTCATTAGGCCTGAGAAGAAGACTGAAACGCATTTCTATCAAGTTCTCAGCTGATGCTGTAATGCTGGACTGGAGATCAAACAGAACCACTGTCCTAGAAAAATGTATGTGGCTGTGTTCAAGATGCATATGTAAGATACCAGTAGAATGGATAGGCGGTGATATACTTATAAAATTTAATACTGTACCATAATAAAAATGAACCACAGATACATACAACAAAATATATAAATTTCTCAAAATATTGAGAAAAAGACAGAAAATAACCTCAGAGTATAACCTCATTTATATAAAGTTCAGCAACAAGCTAAACAAAACATATTTTTAGGGGTACAGGCAGATGCAATGACAATATATAAAAGTACAATAAATTATCAGAAGAAAGAAAATAAAGAATATTTATCCTGGTTCTTCTGATAATATTCGTGAGGCAGTGAACCGTGATCAGGAAAGGATACATGGGAACAGTCTAGGGTACTAGCAATAACTATTTCTGGTATGTTGAGTTTTTTAATTTTTTATTAAATTGTACTTTTATTTTATGCACTTTTCTCTTTATATTTCAAAATGAAAGTGTTTTTAAAAATCTCATGAAACATGAATTGTCTATATTGGAAAAACCATCTAAATGAGAGATTCTTTACTGAAATCCACAGACCCAACCTAAGAATGGCTTTTAGGAAATCTGTGGATCCTTAAATAGTAAACAAAATGATGCATCTAAGCACATGCGCAAGACTATGAAGCATAGGTCCAGATCTTTTATTAACAGTCTCAAATGCAATCTGTACCTCACAAAGTGTTAAGAACCACTTATCTATATGCGATGTACGTATACTGTCTGAAAACTTTATTATAAGGACTTTCCCTCTACATGCTTAATGTTGATTTTATTTATATTAAAAAAGCCACACAAGATCTTCAACAAAAAGTCTATAGATTTTATAGACTCTATACACCTTCAGAAGTATTAAAAAAGTTCAAGGTAAAAAAAAAAGCACAGATGTGGGAAAAATAGTCAGCAGAAATAATTGTTGTGCAGCAAAAATATTTCTTGCTTCACCAGTATGAGTTTTCTGCTGAATAATTTGTTTGTTCATTGATTAATGCATCATGTTTCACATTATGCAGAGAGACACAGCTTTATTTTTGGATGTCTGGAGTACATGTGCTCAAAGCACTGCATAATGCAGTTGAAATGAAATGAACAATGAGCCATAATGTAACTATGCAGACTTAAAGGGGATGATGAAAAGAAAAAGAATACCAAATGATTAGAAGAAAAAAAATATAATTCACAGTCAAAGGTTTTCTTGGGTTTTCTTTCTTCCACCAAGACATATTGATCCTGTTGTTAGCAGAAACATGATAAGACTAAATAACCTATATATGTTCCCAATCCAATAAATGAAAGTGTGGCAATTCTTTCATCCAACTGAGTGATAACACTTTTCACACCAGATGTTTTATATTAGATGCTATTCACATTCCTAATCTAAACTTCATAATCATCAGGAACTAAAAATATTCACATTACATGCAATGCTTTCTGAAAAGTTTCAAAGCTCAACCTTTCCTATTATTTTTCACATGTAAAAAAATTTTAAAGCATGTTGCATAATCATATCTTTCACATCTCTAAACCCATCACGATCTCCTGATCCTTGCTACAAGGAGGAAGAAACAAACTTTGTAGATGTAAATGTTATTTACAAAACTAGAACTACCTCAGAATCCTTAATTACTACTTCTTATTCTCAGTAATTAGAGTACCGATAAAACAGAAGAGATTCCAACAGCTCTCTAGCTCTGTTGGTTTCTGAGGAATATTGTATGTTTTGAACCTAAGGAAACTAAAGTGAGGAGTGATTTTGGGGCCCTTTTTAAGAATGCATTATGATGCCATCCTCATCACACACACAATCCATTCAGTTCAGTCGCACACATGTCCAACTCTTCGCGACCCCATGGACTGCAGCACACCAGACTTCCCTGTCCTTCACCAACTCCCGGAGCTTATGCAAACTCATGTCCATCAAGTTGCTGATGCCATTCAACCATCTCATTTTCTGTTGTCCCTTCTGCTCATGCCTTGATACTTTCCCAGCATCAGGGTCTTTTCAAATGAGTCAGCTCTTCACATCAGATGGCCAAAGTATTGGAGTTTCAGCTTCACTGTCAGTCCTTCCATTGAATATTCAGGACTGTTTTCATTCAGAACTGACTGGTTGGGTCTTCTTGCAGTGTAAGGGACCCTCAAGAGTCTTCTCCAACACCACACTTCAAAAGCATCAATTCTTCGGCGCTCAGCTTTCTTTATAGTCCAACTCTCACATCCATACATGACTACTGGAAAAACCATAGATTTGACTCGATGGACCTTTATCAGCAAAGTAACGTCTCCGCTTTTTAATATGCTGTTTAGGTTGATCATAGCTTTTCTTCCAAGGAGCAAGCGTCTTTTAATTTCATGGCTGCAGTCACCATCTGCAGTGACTTTGGAGCCCAAGAAAATAAAGTCTCTCACTGTTTCCCCATCTATTTGCCATGAAGTGATGGGACCGGATGCAATGATCTTTGTTTTTTGAATGTTGAGTTTTTAGCCAGCTTCTTCACTCTCCTCTTTCACTTTCAGTAAGAGGCGTTTTAGTTCTTCTTCACTTTCTGCCATAAGAGTGGTGTCATCTGCATATCTGGTGTTATTGATATTTCTCCTGGAAATCTTGATTCCAGCTTCTGCTTCATTCAGCATGGCAATTTGCATGCTGTACTCTGCATATAAGTTAAATAAGCAAAGTGAGAGTATACAGCCTTGACGTACTCATTTCCCTATTTGTAAACAGTCTGTTGCTCCATATCCAATTCTAACTGTTGCTTCTTGACCTGATACAGATTTCTCAGGAGGCAGCTAAGGTATGGGAGTATTGGGGAATACCAGAGTATTCCCATTCCTTTCAGAATTTTCCACGGTTTATTGTGATTCACACAGTCAAAGGCACTGGCATAGCCAATAAAGCAGAATTATAGGTTTTTCTGAAATTCTCTTGCTCTTTCAATGCTCCAACAGATGTTGGCAATGTGATCTCTGGTTCCTCTGCCTTTTCTAAGACCAGCCTGAACATCTGGAAGTTCATGGTTCACGAACTGTTGAAGTCTGGCTTGGAGAATTCTGAGCATTACTTTGCCAGTGTGTGAGATGAGTGCAATTGTGCAGTCATTTGAACATTCTTTGGCATTGCCTTTCTTAGGGATTGGAATGAAAACTGACCTTTTCCAGTCCTGTGGCCAGTCTGAGTTTTCCAGATTTGCTGGCATATTGAGTACAGCACTTCCACAGCATCATCTTTTAGGATTTGAAATAGCTCAACTGGAATTCCATCACCTCCTCTAGCTTTGTTCATAGTGATGCTTCCCAAGGCCCACTTGACTTTACATTCCAGGATGTCTGGCTCTAGGTGAATGATCACACCATCGTAGTTATCTGGGTCATGAAGATCTTTTTTGTACAGTTCTTCTGTGTATTCTTGCCACCTCTTCTTAATATCTTCTGCTTCTGTTAGGTCCATACCTTCTGTCCTTTATTGTGCCCATCTTTGCGTGAAATGCTCCCTTGGTATGTCTAATTTTCTTGAGGAGATCTCTAGTCTTTCCCATTCTATTGGTTTCCTCTATTTATCTGCATTGATCACTGAGGAAGGCTTTCTTGTCTTTCCTTGCTATTCTTTGGAACTCTGCATTCAGATGGGTCTATCTTTCCTTTTCTCCTTTGCCTTTAGCTGCTCTTCTTTTCTCAGCTATTTGTAAGGCCTCCTCAGACAACCATTTTCCCTTTTTTATTTCTTTTCCTTGGAGATGGTCTTGATCACTGCCTCCTGTAAATGTCACGAATCCCCATCCATAGTTCTTCAGGTACTCTATCAGATCTAATCCCTTGAATCTATTTCTCACTTCCACTTTATAATTGTAAGGGATTTGATTTAGGTCATACCTGAATGGTCCAGTGGTTTTCCCTACTTTCTTCAATCTAAGTCTGAATTTTGCAATAAGGAGTTCATCATCTGAGCCACAGTCAGCTCCCAGTCTTGTTTTTGCTGACTGTATAGAGCTTCTCCATCTTTGGCAGCAAAGAATATAATCAATCTGATTTTGATATTGACATTAGTCTCTGCATTTAGGCATCTGAAGCAAATTTTTGGGCCAACCATCTGTTGGCTCAGACAGTAAAGATTTTGCCTGCAATAAAGTAGACCTGGGTTCGATTCCTGGGACAGGAAGATCCCCTGGAGAAGGGAATGGCTACCCACTCCAGTACCCTTACCTGGGAAATCCCATGGACAAGGGAGCTAGACAGGCCCTAGACCAAGGGGTCACAAAGATTCAGACACTGCTGAGCAACTAACAACTAAGCAAATATTTAAAAAAGAACTTTTAGTTTCAAAGTCAACTGCTGCATTCCTGTAAAACAGCATTCATAAACAAAATCAGAATCATCATCCTTTTACATAAGAGAAATACATCCTCTTACATAAGGGAAATACATCAGAGAGAATAACTTGTTGCAGTGATGTTTCTAAAATTCCATCAGATGATTGAGGGAATGGCTCCTGTCACATGATAGGGGAAAAGATCAATAGTACTCTCAGAATTCCTAAGAACATTGTGAAAAAACACTAAAATTCCAGTTTGTGAACTAGTTGATTTAACATGAATTATTTTCAGAAGTCATGACATAATAAGTTATATATAACATGGGTTTTCCAGTATGTGAGGTGGAATAAATTATCTGAAAAAGATGTTAACCCTCAAGCAAATCAACTTAATAATATATCTCCCACTACTTAGTTAGCAAAAAACTTAGCTTAGAAGATATCCATACAAATACGGCAAAGTTTTCAAAATTCTACTGAATCAGTACCTCAATATGATCCATAGCTTTCTGCCATACAGACTGCTTCTCCTCTGCACTGTATCCAGGAATGGATAAAATATTGTGAATGTAGTTAAAGACTTCTTCCTGAAAAGCACAAGACAATAAAATTTATTTATTCATTCACTCAAGAATATTTAGTCACTATCTACTATCTCTTGAGAGTCCCTTGGATGGGGAGATCAAACCAGTCAATCCTAAAGGAAATCAGTCCTGAATATTCATTGCAAGGACTAATGCTGAAATACTTTGGCCACCTGATGCAAAGAACTGACTCACTGGAAAAGACCCTATGATGGGTAAGACTGAAGTCAGGAGGAGAAGCGGACAACAGAGGATGAGATGGTTGGATGGCATCACCGACTCAATGCACATGAGATTGAGCAAGCTCCAGGAGTTGGTGATGGACAGGGAAGCCAGGTGTACTGCAGTCCATGGGGTCGCAAAGAGTTGGATATGACTGAGTGACTGAACTGAACTGATCTACTATCTATATCAGTCTTGGTAAATATCTATTATTTGGAGAAGGAAATCATTTGTAGATGGTTAATTGACAGAGTGAAGTGAAAGTCGCTCAGTCATGTCTGACTCTCTGCCACCCTGTGGACAATACAGTACATGGAATTCTCCAGGCAAGAATACTGGAGTGGGTAGCTGTTCCCTTCTCCAGGGGATCTTCCCAACCCAGGGATCGAACCCAGTCTCCCACATTGCAGGCGGACTCTTTACCAGCTGAGCCACCAGGGAAGACCAAGAATACTGGAGTGGGTAGCCTACCCTGTCTCCAGTGGATCTTCCCAACCCGGGAATCAAACTGGGGTCTCTTGCACTGCAGGTGGGTTCTTTATCAGCTGAGTTACCAGGGAAGTCCCTTAACTAATGGAAGACTGACTTAAAAGAGAAAGAGTAACTGTTGAGGGTAGATTCTTAGAAGTTGCAAATCTTTTCCAATTAATTTCAGTCTCGATTTCATTAACCCAGAGTAAGTATCATTCTTTTGCTTTGGTGGTCCCTGTCTACATTCTTAGTTTCCTATCAAATCTGTCTTGCCCGTGTCCATTATGCTCCACTTATACTGATCTTTGTTTCATTTATATGATCCCGACTCAGTTCCTTGAACATGTCAAAAAATTTTCCTATCTCAGGATCTTTGCGTATGCTGTTCGCTACCCTGGAACATTTTTTCTATGGGCTCTTTGCTTGATTGGCTTCTTCTCAAATTCCAAAACTCAGTTTATATGTCATTTTATCTGAGATTCCCTCCCTGGCTGCTCTGTATAAGTTCGTTCCCCCATTATTTACTCATGTGGCAACCAGTTTCTCTAATGTTCATCACAATTTGCAACTATATATTTGGTTTTCTTACTGTCAGTCTCCATCACTAAACTATAAGTTATAAAATTACAGGAACTATATATCTGCTTGAATTATCAATACACTCTTGATTTAATAACAGGCACTCAACAAACAGCTGTTGAATAATGAAGAAACATATGTCCAAATATTGCTACTGAATAATTATTTTTATTTGATAAGGTGAGGGAGGAAACTGAGTAAGAAAAAAGGGTAAAGTGGTCTCTGAACTCACCTCTCTTAGTGGGTCACGTATGTAGCAATCAATAATTTTGTCATATTGGTGTTCTCGTTCATACATAAACTCACAAATTTGGTAGCTAGAACATAAAAGTGAAAATTTCAGTGTACCACACAGGCAGGTGGTTATCAGCTTACTGTTTTAAGACACGTGTTCAGGCATAGAGGTTAGTATTAAGGAAAATGAATACAGTAGATGTGATTTCTACTGTTAAATCAAGTTACAGTATCTAAGGAATATGAATATCTACCATTCCTTTGAATATAGGTTTTAAGTGCTGCTGAATACTATAAGAAATTTCAAAGATGTGTATAAAATAAATGTTAAAGCAACAATATGTCATATAAAAAGTTAATAGAAACTAATACAATCGATAATATGAACTTTCTCTATTCAGAATAAAACATGTCAAAGGAAATATTTAACAAACTAGATAAACAATAGTGCTAACATGTTGCATCTGTTTGCTATGTTAAATTCTGCATTGTTTATAATATACACGTAAGATAACTGCCAAAAATCTCTAAATACCATGGCAATTTTAAGTAAAAAAACCCATAAGACTGATATTTCATTTTTACACTAAAACAAATGAACAAGAACTTCAAATTTACTTGCTATTAATTTCTGCAAATTAAACTAATTTCTAGACTTGAAAGGCAAAAACTTTTGCATTTAGGTTTTTTAAAAATTATTACATGCATAGCTTTTCTTAATTTAAAAGAATGGAAACGCATCAATAAATCGGGCTTCAAGTTAGAGAAGTAGTACTTTAGTAGTTCTATGGGAACTAATATATGGCTTTAACACAACTTACAATTCTGCTTTCTCTGCCATACGGATGAGTCGACTCTCTTCAAATTGAACTATGCCTCCAGCCTGCAGCAATTCTAAAAGGACCTGAATATTTAAAATAAATGAGTAAAAACATTTTGGAATCTACTTTTATTGATTAGCTCTTCAGGAGTCCATTCATCCAGCCACACAATCATATCTTTTTCTCTTTTGTCTTATTACATGCTGATGTTTCAGCTTGGTTTTCATGTGTACAAGCGATTGTTGTTTAGTTGCTCAGTCATGTCCTATTCTTTTGCGACCCCACAGACTATAGCTTCCCAGGCTCCTCTGTCCATGGGATTTCCCAGGCAAGGATACTGGAGTAGGTTGCCATTTCCTTCTCCAGGGGATCTTCCTGACCCAGGGATCAAATCTGTAATGGTGGGATCTCCTGCATTGGCAGGGGTTGGGCTTCCACTGGGGAAGCCCACAGGAGGGATTAGATTGCCATTATAATGTTGATCACATTGCATTTAAGTCTTACAAAAAGATAAATAGCTCTATTTTCATACATGAAAGGAATGCCATGGTGTTTGCAAACACAGTATTATTAGAATATCTAACTGATGCTCCACTAAGCTAAAAATGCCCATATATATTCTTTCAATAAGAATTTCTGTTTGGTGCTTTTATGCCTTATGGTTCTTAAAAATCTGTTGCCCACAGGTAACAGTATCCATGTTCACATGTTAATTTTTCTAACTAAACTCGGGGCTTCTCACAATATAGCATAATTCCCAAGCACTAAAAGGTGGAAACAATGCTAATTTCCATCAATGGATAAATGAAATATGATATATAATGGAACATTATTCATTCTTAAAAAGGAATGAAATTCTGACATATGCCACACATGGATAAAGCTTAAAAACATTATTCTAAGTGAAAAAAGTCACAAATGGAAGAATAATGTATAATTTCACTTATATGAGGCACCTGAAGTAGTAAAATTCATAGAGACAGAAAGTTGAATGATAGCTTCCAGGGTGCTGAGAGGGGGTAATGAGAATAAATTTAATGAGAACTGTACATTTAAAATGCTTAAAATGATCAATTTTATGATTTACATATTTTACCATAATTAAAAAATAAACAAAAATGCTGGGATTCATGTAATTAATCTTCAGTGCCTGATGAACCATGGATGGAGGTTCGTGACACTGTATAGCAGACAGGGATCAAGACCATCCCCAAGGAAAAGAAATGCAAAAAAGCAAAATGGCTCTCTGAGGAGGCCTTAAAAACAGCTGTGAAAAGATGAGAAGCAATAAGCAAAGGAAGATAGGAAAGATACACCCATTTGAATGCAAAGTTCCAAAGAATATCAAGGAGAGATAAGAAAGCCTTCCTCAGTGATCAATACAAAGAAATAGAGGAAAACAACGGAATGGGAAAGACTAGAGATCTCTTCAAAAAAAATTAGAGATACCAAGGGAACATTTCATACAAAGATGGGCTCAATAAAGGATAGAAATGGTATGGACCTAACAGAAGCAGAAGATATTATGAAGAGGTGTCAAGAATACACAAAACAACTGTACAAAAAAGATCTTCACAACCCAGATAATCACAATGGTGTGATCATTCACCTAGAGCCAGACATCCTGGAATGTAAAGTCAAGTGGGCCTTGGGAAGCATCACTATGAACAAAGCTAGAGGAGGTGATGGAATTCCAGTTGAGCTATTTCAAATCCTAAAAGATGATGCTGTGAAAGTGCTGCACTCAATATGTCAGCAAAATTGGAAAACTCAGCAGTGGCCACAGGACTGGAAAAGGTCAGTTTTTATTCCAATCCCGAAGAAAGGCAACACCAAAGAATGCTCAAACGACCACACAATTACACTCATCTCACACACTAGTAAAGTAATGCTCAAAATTCTCCAAGCCAGGCTTCAGCAATACATGAACCATGAACTTCCAGATGTTCAGGCTGGTTTTAGAAAAGGCAGAGAAACCAGACATCAAATTGCCAACATCTGCTGGAGCATCAAAAAAGCAAGAGAGTTCCAGAAAAACATCTATTTCTGCTTTATTGACTATGCCAAAGCCTTTGATTGTATGGATCACAATAAACTGTGGAAAATTCTGAAAGAAATGAGAATACCAGACCACCTTAGCTGCCTCCTGAGAAATCTGTATGCAGGTCAGGAAGCAACAATTAGAACTGGACACGGAACAACAGACTGGTTCCTAAAAGGAGTATGTCAAGGCTGTATACTGTCACCCTGTTTATTTAACTTATATTCAGACTACATCATGAGAAACGCTGGGCTGGAGGAAGCACAAGCTGGAATCAAGAAAGCCAGGAGAAATATCAATAACCTCAGATATGCAGATGACACCACCCTTATGGCAGAAAGTGGAAAAGAACTAAAGAGTCTCGTGATCAAAGTGAAAAAAAAGTGAAAAAAAAGTGAAAAAGTTGGCTTAAAGCTCAACATTCAGAAAACTAAGATCATGGCATCCAGTCCCATCACTTCAGGGCAAATAGATGGGGAAACAGTGGAAACAGTGAGAGACTATTTTTTTGGGCTTCAAAATCACTGCAGATGGTGACTGCAGCCATGAAATTAAAAGACGCTTATTCCTTGGAAGGAAAGTTATGACCAACCTAGACAGCATATTAAAAAGCAGAGACATTACTTTGCCAACTAAGGTCCACCTAGTCAAGGCTATGGTTTTTACAATAGTCATGTGTGGATGTGAGAGTTGGACTATAAAGAGAGCTGAGCACAGAAGAATTGATGCTTTAGAACTGTGGTGTTGGAGAAGATTCTTGAGAGTCCCTTGGACTGCAAGGAGATCCAACCAGTCCATCCTAAAGAATATCAGTCCTGAATATTCGTTGGAAGGACTGATGTTGAAGCTGAAACTCCAATACTGTGGCCACCTGATGTGAACAGCTGACTCATTTGAAAAGACCTGGTGCTGGGAAAGATTGAGGGCAGGAGGAGAAGGGGACGACAGAGGATGCGATGGTTGGATGGCATCACCAACTCAATGGACATGAGTTTGGTTAATCTCCGGGAGTTGGTGATAGACATGGAGGCCTGGCGTGCTGCAGTCCATGGGGTCACAAAGCATCAGACGCAACTGAGCGACTGAACTGAACTGAAGCAGCTGAATAAAAAATTAATCTTTACCACACTAAGTATCTGAATATATGACCAGGCTATGAGACATATTTTAAAATAAATCTCACAATATAACAGAATCACTACATAATCATTAGAGCAGTATCAGAAGGCTCTCTCCTATATTTAAGTTCAAGATCCAGAGTAACATGCCCTTTCTCAGAACTCCCGGAAGCCACTTAACAAAACATTTTTCAAACACAGGAAATTATTTTCAAATTAATTTTTTTTTTTACAAAGGCAGAAAGAAATAAAACCTATCCTACCTTTATACTTTAGAACTCTAATTTAATCCATTTCGAGTATTACAATGCACTGCTATACAGGGCAATGATGGAGCGAACCCATTTGCTGGAAGCCTCAGTTTGTTTGTTTGGTTTTTTTTATTTATTTATTTATTTATTTATTTATTTATTTATTTTTTATTTATTTATTATCACAACCATAGTGTATCTTTTTTTTTTTTTTTTTACATGTATTCCTCATCCCGGTCCCCCCTCCCACCTCCCTCTCCACCCAATCCCTCTGGGTCTTCCCAGTGCACCAGGCCCGAGCACTTGTCTCATGCACCCAACCTGGGCTGGTGAACTGTTTCACCCTAGATAATATACGTGTTTCAATGCTGTTCTCTTGAAACATCCCACCCTCGCCTTCTCCCAGAGTCCACAAGTCTGTTCTATACATAGGAGTCTCTTTTTCTGTTTTGCACATAGGGTTATCGTTACCATCTTTCTAAATTCCATATATATGTGTTAGTATACTGTAATGGTCTTTATCTTTCTGGCTTACTTCGCTCTGTATAATGGGCTCCAGTTTCATCCATCTCATTAGAACTGATTCAAATGAATTCTTTTTAATGGCTGAGTAATATTCCATGGTGTATATGTACCACAGCTTCCTCATCCATTCGTCTGCTGTTGGACATCTAGGTTGCTTCCATGTCCTGGCTATTATAAACAGTGCTGCGATGAACATTGGGGTACACGTGTCTCTTTCAGATCTGGTTTCCTCGGTGTGTATGCCCAGAAGTGGGATTGCTGGGTCATATGGCAGTTCTATTTCCAGCTTTTTAAGAAATCTCCACACTGTTTTCCATAGTGGCTGTACTAATTTGCATTCCCACCAACAGTGTAAGAGGGTTCCCTTTTCTCCACACCCTCTCCAGCATTTATTGCTTGTAGACTTTTGGATAGCAGCCATCCTGACTGGTGTGTAATGGTACCTCATTGTGGTTTTGATTTGCATTTCTCTGATAATGAGTGATGTTGAGCATCTTTTCATGTGTTTGTTAGCCATCTGTATGTCTTCCTTGGAGAAATGTCTGTTCAGTTCTTTGGCCCATTTTTTGATTGGGTCATTTATTTTTCTGGAGTTGAGCTGGAGGAGTTGCTTGTATATTTTTGAGATTAATCCTTTGTCTGTTGCTTCGTTTGCTATTATTTTCTCCCAATCTGAGGGCTGTCTTTTCACCTTGCTTATAGTTTCCTTTGTTGTGCAAAAGCTTTTAAGTTTCATTAGGTCCCATTTGTTTATTTTTGCTTTTATTTCTAAAATTCTGGGATGTGGGTCATAGAGGATCCTGCTGTGATTTATGTCGGAGAGTGTTTTGCCTATGTTCTCCTTTAGGAGTTTTATAGTTTCTGGTCTTACATTTAGATCTTTAATCCATCTTAAGTTTATTTTTGTGTATGGTGTTAGAAAGTGTTCTAGTTTCATTCTTTTACAGGTGGTTGACCAGTTTTCCCAGCACCACTTGTTAAAGAGGTTGTCTTTTTTCCATTGTATATCCTTGCCTCCTTTGTCAAAGATAAGGTGACCATAGGTTCGTGGATTTATCTCTGGGCTTTCTATTCTGTTCCATTGATCTATATTTCTGTCTTTGTGCCAGTACCATACTGTCTTGATGACTGTGTGGAAGCCTCAGTTT